AGATCATGACCTGAGCTGAAATCAAGAGTCGGATGTTTAACCGAATGAGCCACTCAGGCGTCCCGAAGGAAGATCTTTCTTAAAAATTCATTTTCATTTGGTTCCTTGATAATTTAATGGAAACAATCCTACCTTCTGCCAAGGTATTTCCTTCAATCACCTACATTTCTCTGTGATTCAACAGATCAATGATTAATAGGAAGGCTCATTTAGAAAAGAACAAGGGTCCAAGAGCCGATTCCCAGTCCTCTGGCCTTCAGATACCCCAAGACTATATTTCAAATGATCAGTCGGCTTGCCTAGAACAGTTAAGAGTCAGTAGTGGGGAACTCTGCAAGTTGTTTAGGCAGATCGGAGAAGCCGCTGAACCAAATACCACCCCCTGCCCCGCCATGTTATATAACAGGGACGCATGTGTATATGTGCACGCACACGTATGTCAGGGGTAGGAGAAGGATTCACAAAACAAAGCCTGAATTGAAGAACCATAGAAAATGGCTATTAAGAACACTATTGTTTTTTTATTAGCACAGCACCTTAATCATCAATAGATCTGAAATTCCTTTACGCCAGCCTGTTAGGATTGTCCTAGATCGACCAGTAACAACCCTGGCAATAAATGAAATACTACATTTTCTCTGTTCTAAGGAAGAGTAAGACTCTGTATTCTATAAAGGATGTTAAGAAACATTAAGCATGTAGCAGGTGCACTGTCACGAATTCATTAAATACAGGAAAAGCTTCAAGGTTAGGAATTTGTTCTATGCTAGCTATTACGTCCTGAAGACAGAGGTTAGGTTCGAAGGTCAATCTGTAGAACAAGGCCCACACACACATATCATCAAATGAGCTTTGAAAATCTCCTATGTCACCCAGAAGTACAGCTTCCATTGTTTTGAAGGGACAACTGTATGCAAAGATACTATCTTTCAATACGCCTAGTATTCGATTTCCCTATAGCATCGAGCAACAGTCTCTCTATATTCAGGTGCCTCGCAGATAAAGGAGCTGCCGTGTGCTTAGGGGGCACGATGAAAACAATAAAAATGAGGCGTGTCTCCATCTGATTCCAGAATGTAAGACTATGATAATAATGAATGATTTTTGCCAAAAAAAAAAAAAAAAATTTGCGTACAGCTCCATAGTAAGTACCATGTATCTTAAAAACGTTATGTAATTTACTTAACGTGTATTTTTAAAAATGCTATCAGTCTTTATTTCATTGCTCTTATCTTCATGCGGTAATCTGCTCTTAGGAAGGGGCAACCCATACCCAAGAAGGACCGACCGTTGCAGGCAAGGACCACGTACTCACTGTTGCTGTACCTTCTAGGTCTTTGGTTCTAATTTAAACGTATGTGCCCGTGTGTCTGCAGTCATCTTTTATTTTCAAAATGTTACCCAGTCTTGGGGCGCCTGGGTGGCGCAGTCGGTTGAGCGTCCGACTTCAGCCAGGTCATGATCTCGCGGTCCGTGAGTTCGAGCCCCGCGTCAGGCTCTGGGCTGATGGCTCAGAGCCTGGAGCCTGTTTCCGATTCTGTGTCTCCCTCTCTCTCTGCCCCTCCCCCGTTCATGCTCTGTCTCTGTCCCAAAAATAAATAAACGTTGGAAAAAAAAAAAAATTAAAAAAAAAAAATGTTACCCAGTCTCTCTCTAATTCGCTGCTCTCTTTGGTTAAAGATAGAGTCTTCAAGTGGTGCTGACTTTCCACAGCACTTATTTCGTCATCCAGGTCCATGTCGATGCAAGAATGTAACATGTGAGCTCTTGTATGTGCTTAGTTTAAAACTTTTTTTAATGTTTTTATTTTAGTTTTGAGAGAGACAGAGAGAGAGAGAGAGAGAGCAGGGAAGGGGCAGAGAGAGGGGGAGACGCAGAATCCGAAGCAGGCTCCGGGCTCCGAGCCGTCAGCACCGAGCCCGACGCGGGGCTCGAACCCACGAACAGTGAGATCATGACCTGAGCTGAAGTCAGATGCTTAACCGGCTGAGCCCCCCGGGGGGGCCCTGATGCTTAGTTTTAAAGTATTCAAAAGTTAACTACCTCTGTGTCACACCACCGCTACCTTCATAACTGGCAGGTCAGTATCTGTAAAGACCAGTCATGTTCCTGAAAACCGGAGTGAGCCCAGCTCCAGGCCCTTCCTGGCACCGTACAGACTCATAACCTCTGCCTCCCCTCCACTCACCTCGCTTCTGGGCTACAACCCTAGCTACCCGGGGCTCTGTTCCGTTTAGGTCTTCCGTCTGTGCCTTTGCTCATTCTACGCCCTTGCGTGGAATGCAACTTTCTCCACGTGTTTCTTACTGTCGCGCGTGGGACAAATCTAAAAGTGGTCTGCAGCTCTAGAGTGAAACAGAAATGCATAACTATTCTGGCTCTCAGGTATCCGTGTTTTCCCGAATCTCATTCTGGAATTTCAGTAGAAGCACAGACACGGCAGTAAAACAAACAGGGTAAGAGAGCACTTTGAACACAGGCATCCTCATCTCCAAATCCCAGCAGTGAGAGTCACTGTGGAAATCCTGCCTCAGCACCGGACGCTACAGAAAGACAGCATCTACCTGGCCTGAGCTTTGAGGACTTTCTGCTACATAGAGAGTAAGTGGGAGGAGTGGGGGGAGGGATGGAAAGTAAATACTACGGCTTGATTCCCGATTCCCTTTCAGAGAAAATGAAGATGTGGGGAAGCTCCTGTGACGGCCCCCGTTAGGGAGCTGGGCCTCAGAGGAGCAGAGGAAGCCCTGAGCACACAGAGCATTCTTCCTGCAAGGGCTGGGCGACATTAACATAGGACTGTCCGAAGAGGCCAGAGATGGTTTATCCCAGGTAAAAGGACAGTAGCAGAAAGGGGCAGATTAGGAAGAGCCACAGCACGTCCCTGAAATGGACAATGGCTAGCAAAAGCAGACCCAGGATGCTGGTTCCCACAATTAGTTTCACCAGAGAAGGAACTGGACACATGAATTTCACCCACTACGAACCTGTTCCTCTGTACTTTATTTGAGCTTCTGTGTCTCCGATATGTAACACCAATTTACCTTAAAGAACCTTCCTTCTCGGGCGCCTGGGTGGCTCAGTCAGTTAAGTGTCCAACTTCAGCTCAGGTCATGATCTCAAGGTTCACTGGGCTCTGCGTGGACAGTGGAGAGCCTAATTGGGATTCTCTCCCTTTCTCTCTGCCCCTTCCTCTCTTTCTCTCTGTCTCAAAATAAATACATAAACTTGAAAAAAAAAAAAAAAAAGAACCTTCCTTTGTATCCTTTAAAAAAAAAAAATTTTTTTTAATGTTTATTTTTGGGAGGGAGAGAGACACAGTGCAAACAGGGGAGGGGCAGAGTGAGAGGGAGACACAGAATCCGAAGCGGGCTTCCAGGCTCTGAGCTGTCAGCCCAGAGCCCAACGTGGGGCTCGAACTCATGAACCGCGAGATTGTGACCTGAGCTGAAGTCGGACGCTTAACAGACTGAGCCACCCAGAGGCCCCTCTTCATATCTTTTCCACACATGAAAAGATTTCAGCAGTAGTCAGGCAAAGTGGTATAGACGTAAGCAGCACCTATAGACAATGATCTTCCCCTGATACACTAGCCCATTTAAGCAAGAAGAGGAGACAGGCAATTATCTGCCCTGCCCTAAGACATGCCCTGATCTATGCACAGATTCCACAACATAAAATGAAAGGAATGACTGCACTCAAGGGAGAGCAGACATTTGTAAATTCATGACAGGAGACAGAATCATATGCTTGATAGAAACTGCCTTGAGAATACAACAAAATTCAAGAAAAGGGGATAATATATGAAAGATGACAGTTTACAATGAAAGGCCAAGTCTAAAACATGATATCAGCAATCTAATAATCCCCTTAAAATCTTTTTAAAGCAGTTTTGTTTAAAAGTTCTAGAAAAAAAGAAATGAAAACACATCAGGAACATCCCTCTAAATATAGACAAAATATAACATAAAGGTGGAACTTTGATTTAGTGGGTAGAGGATGGTTTGGATCATAAATGGTGCTGGCATGACTGGCTGTCCACCTGGAAGAAAAAGACTCATACCTCACATCGGACTAAACAAAGAAAGGTAGACCAAATATCTGAGACAGAGAGAGAGAGAGAGAGGGAGAGAAAGAAATAGATGAAGGAAATGTGACAGCCTATTTGTGTAAGATTAGGGTAGGGGAAGCCTTTTTTTCATTTTTAATGTTTATTTTATTTTTGAGAGACAGAGAGAGACAGAGCATGAGCAGGAGAGGGGCAGAGAGAGGGAGACACAGAATCCGAAGCAGGCTCCGGGCTCTGAGCCGGCAGCCCAGAGCCCGACGCGGGGCTCGAACTCACGGACCGTGAGATCATGACCTGAGCCGAGGTCGGATGCTTAACCGACTGAGACACCCAGGTGTCCCTAGGGTAGGGTAAATCTTAAACAAAACAGAACAAAACAAAACCCAGAAACAGTAAAAGAAAATACTAACAGATTACACTGTGTAACAATATAAAATTTTCCCTGATCAAGATGAAGAGCCAAAAGACCCATAATATACTGGAATAAATACGCATCCCTAATAAAATGCTGATTTATAAATGGATAAGAGAAAAACAATCATCTCAATGAAAAAATAAGCAAAAGTGCTAAACAAGCAATTCTCAAAAAGATAAAACGCAGATGGTTAACATAAAAAATATGCTCGGGAAAATGCAAAGTTAAAGTACTAATGAGATAGAAGTTTTTGTTTATCCTACTGTCAAAAATTAAGATTGGTATTATCTGCTTCTGCTAAGGCTGTGTATAAACAGGCACTCTCATCAAGGATAAAAGGTCTAAGTCTTAGGTAAGTAATCTAACAAACCTATTAAAATAAAAAATGTGCATATCCTCCATTATAGCAATCATATTTTTACGAACCCATCCTATGAAAATAAAACCACATATCTGTAAGTGTATGTGGATAAGGACTGCTGTTATCCCATTATTGGGAAAGTAAAAAACCATGAAATATAACCCTTGATGTTCACGGATATGACAATATTCGAATGTTCTAGGGCACATTCATCCTCTGGGACACCAGGCAGCTATGAAAATGAGTTAAATTCATATACATTGACCTGGAAGGACGCCCATGGTACACTGTTGAGTGAAATGTGAAAATGCAGAGTACTGTATAGAATATAATGCCATTTTTATAAAAAAATAAAAACGAACCTTATATATTTTTAGGAGTAGAGGAGGAGGTAAAGAAAAACAAACATGCTGTGAACACTGATTACCTTACAGGGTAGTATTAGAGAGAGAGAGAAAAAAACATATGTGTGTGTATATATATATATATATATATATATATATAT